TTTTTTCCTGCTAACTCCAAGCATAACAATAATAAGTGTGGTATGTGTGTCACCTAAAAAAGCTTAAAAGTTTTTTAAACATTATTTTGGGACAAAATCTCCAAACTCAGGAAGCATTGTCTCGCTTTCCATTGACCACAGAAATGAATCCTGAGGCTCTCGTCCTGTTCAGAGAGAAAGAAGGTTTCAAAATAGCCCAAACGTGCCTGAAGGCGTTGCTAAGGTGGCTGCAGAGTAGTACGACTTTTTCCAGCATTGACCAAACACAGCTGAGCTTTGTTTCTTTCTCAAGACAGATACAAGTGCTCACCTCTTGGCTTACTTTGCATTAGTGTAAATTGTATCATTTTTTATGAAAGTTGTGGGTTTGAAAAATTTACAGAAACTTTGCCAGGAGCTAATCAGCTAATATTTTCCACTGTTATGAAATTTGGGAGGACGTGGTTGTTTCGTTGCAGCAGGACATGCTGCGGACTTTGTTGTTACAGTTCATCTGTCACAGAGAGATTGTGCTGGTGCTGATAAGTGCTGACGTCGCCCTGTTGAGGACGTCTACACCAAAGCCTTTGAGAGAAAATGAAATGGAAACTATTTTTGTTCTCAGTTGGTGAAATAATAATAAATGTCTTCACTTGAAGCCGTACAGCACACAGCACAAGAGCTCACAGAAGAAAAGGGCTCAGTTTTTATTCACACACCCTGTTACTGACATGCTGAGGTGCTGTTTTGTTTACAGACAGGTGCCTAAAATATTCTTGTGTCACAATTTTGCCTGTGAGCTTGTGCAACAAAAACTGGAAGTTTGGACGTACTCAAAACCCGACCTTCACTTTTTTGAGGGTATAAACAGTTTGGTTTTTTTTGTGGGATCAATCTTGGGTTTGGGATATGAAATTAATAGATTTTTATTTAGATTTTAATACATAAATTGTATAATCAGACCACTATATGGACTCTACTTTATAAGGACAGCAGCAGCTGCTCATAGTTTTCCACACCACTATAACCAATCTGTGTTCCTTCTGTTTCTTTATTATTTTATGTTATTATATACACGTCTAATAAATTCTACTAATTATCAATAAAATTGTATGCAGCACCAATTTGAATGTAAAAATGATTGACAGAAAATAATGTGTCATATTATTTCCATACGGTGTTTTGGGGAAATTAGTGTCTCAGATCAAAATTTATGCACAAAAAGCACTGAATGTAATAAATCTTCCAAGTAAACATAATCATGCATCTTTTCTTTGTTTATCATCATTAATTTATTGCAGTTGCAGTTTGCGTGTTCATTATAAGATCCAAACTGTTTCCAACTGGCAAATGTTGTAATCTGGGATCGTTTTGGATAATTAGTGTTAAGTTCTACAAAATAATTCAAGACCTGATTTACTACTAAAACAAACAACATTATTTATTGACTCCAATGTTGTCAAGACATTTATTCATTAAAATATGTGTTTGTTACTCAAACTTTCTATATTTTTATGGAATACTTTGCTGATTCTTGAGGGTGAAATCTCAATTAAAAAGTCAGCGTCAGCAGCAGAGTGGCTCCAGCTGACACTGGTACTTCAGCGGTCATTCGTGCTGCATTTGTTGTAAAAAACATAAAACTTGAGCACTGAGCTATTTGTTTTGTACTTTAAAAAAAATTCAACTTGATAAAGACATCCTCAAATTCAGTCAGTAAATATGAAGATGTGAAATCAACATTTGACTGGTCCACAGAATGAAATGTGAAGCTGAAACATCCTGATAAAAGTTAGTTTTACCTCGTTCTAATCACAAATGTAAATGAGAGAATATTTATCAATCTTATCAAAAAGTCCATACATTTTGATCTTAGAGAATCTGCTCTGAAGCTCCAGCTCTGCTAAATTTAATGCAGAGATGAAGCCCTATTCATTAAATGTGATAAGTAATTGAAATAATTTCATCACACCAGCCAGTCCATCCGTTCATTTTCTTCCACACAGGAGAGCCTATTGCAGCTACAAAAAACAGGATATATTGTGCACAGGTTGCAAGTCTGTTGCAGGGCTAACATAGACAACCATTCAGACAGACGGAATTGAGAATCAACCGAACCCAACATGTCTTTGGACTGTGGGAGGAAGCAGGAGTGCCTGGAGCGAACCCACACAGACACAGGAGAATACACCAGCTGGCCATCTGCTGACGTAACTACCGTGCCACCGCGCTACCTCCACACCAGTCAAGATCTCAGGTAAGCAGCAGAGAGAGACCTTCAATTATCTAGAAAGAGGAAAAGAGGTAATATTACATAAAATTCTGCCCCATTGAGACTGAGTAAGATATTTAACTCTCAGCTGTTCTGTGGCTATTTTACAGCTCAGAAAAAAAGGAAGGATGTTATGGTTTTCTAGTTTGGAGACACCCAAAGTGCTCTGTAATTATGTGGTTGTGGCTTTTCTATCTTCGGCATATAAACACTCATGTCCCAGCAGTCCTGCAACGCATTGCACTGTGGGTCAAGTGCCCCAGCAGAAATGAGCAAGTGCAACAAAATTCCAGTGTGTCAACAAGATATTTATAGAGTTTAAAGAATAAATAAATAAAATGAGTAAATGGAAACATAAGGAGTGTCGCAATACTGCACAATATCGCCCACTGTCGCCAAAGTGCTTGCTCATAGGGGGTCATATGATTGTTGGGTTTTTCTCTGTATCTATGAAGTGCCTTGAGGCGACTTTTGTTGTGATTTGGCGCTATATAAATAAAATTGAAATAAATTGAAATTAAATTGAATATATTCCAATGATGCGTTACGCCTATTTTAATGGTTTAATTGAGGGCTGTCAGAAACATTTTAATAATTTATAGATGAAGGAGGAGGAGGAGGAGACCAAAGACAGACTGAAGTCCAACATTCAAATCTTTAATCAGTAATCTGGAAGTCTCAATGATTTTTGCTTAGCAAAGCAGGAAGCCACGGAGAACTAAACAAAAACTAATGTGAAGGTGAGTGATTTCAAAACAAAATGCTCCAAGAAAACAGAGATGAAGAACCATTAACAAACTGCTAAAAAAATGAAGCCCCCCACACAAGTCCAAAAACCTGCAGTTCCTTCAGTGTCCACTTGAGGTTGGCTCCAAAACTGAGTCAGCCCCCCACAGACGCCTGTGTTAAACTGTTAAACTACAATAGAAATACAACTACCTTACAGGGGAACACCTCTGAAGAGGACAGCTCTCATTAGGGGTGCAATCTGGGGCTGTTTCCCAATTCAGGGTCTGCAGCCTTAAAGGCCGCATTTTAAGGCCGATTACGTCAC